ACTGGGTAAAACATAGTAACTGGTCTTACTGGGTACCAATAGTAACTGGTCTAGCTGGGTAACAGGTCTATTGGGTAACATAGTAACATTGGTCTACTGGGTACATATTAACTGGTCTACTGGGTACTGGTCTACTGGTTAACATGAGTAACTGGTCACTGGGTACCATAGTAACGGTCTACTGGCTACCATAGTACTGGGTTCTACTGGGTAACCATATAACGGTCTACGGTACCATAGTAACTGGTCTCTTGGTACTCTAGTACTTGTCTACTGAGTACCATATACTGGTCTATACTGGGTAACATAGTACTGGTCTACTGGGTAACATGAGTAACTTTCTACTGGGTAACTGGTCTACTGGGTAACATAGTAACTGGTCTACTGGGTACCATAGTAACACTGGTCTACTGGGTAAACATAGTAACTGGTCTACTGGGTACATAGTACCTGGTGCTACTTGGGTACCATAGTAACTGGTCTACTTGGTAACATAGTAACTGTCTACTGGTAACCATAGTAACTGGTCTACTGGTACCTAGTAACTGGTCCTACTGGGTAACATAGTAACTGTCTATACTGGTACCATAGTAACTGGTCTAACTGGGTAACATAGTACTGGTCTACTGGGTACCATAGTAACTGGTCTACTGGGTAAACATCGTAACTGGTCTACTGGGTACCATATTACTGGCTATACTGGGTAACCATAGTAACTGGTCTCTGGGTAACATAGTAACTTTCTACTGGGTAACTTGGTTCCTATTGTGTAAACATCGTAACGGTCTAAAGGTGTAACATAGTAACTGGCTACTGGGTACCATATATGGTCTACTTCTGGGTACATATGTAAACTGTCTACTGGACCATAGTAACTACTGGTCTACTGGGTAACATAGAAACTGGTCTACTGGGTACCTAGTAAACTGGTCTACTGGTAACATAGTAACTGGTCTACTGGGTTACACATAGTAACTGGTCTACTGGGTACCCAATAGTAACTGGTCTATACTGGGTACATATTAACTGGGTCTAACTGGGTCACATAGTAACTGGTCTACTGAGTAACATATAACTGGTCTATACCTGGGTAACATAGTAACTGGGCTACTGGGTAACATAGGACCTGGTCTACTGGGTAACTGGTCTACTGGGTACATAGTAACTGGTCCACTTGTTAACAGAGTAACTGTCTACTGGGTAACATAGTAACTGGTCTACTGGTACCATAGTAATGGTCTACTGGGTAACATGTACTGGTCTAACTGGGTAAGCATAGTACTGGTCACTGGGTAACAAGAAACTGACTGGTTCTACTGGGTAACATAGTAACTGGTCTACCTCTGGGTAACATAGTACACTGGTCACTGGGTAACATATAACTGGTCTACTGGTTAACATAGTAACTGGGTCTACTGGGTACATAGTACCTGGTCTACTGGGTAAATAGTAACTGGAACTGGTCTATACTGGGTAACTGGTTCTATACTGAACATAGTAACTGGTCTACTGGGTAACTGTCTACTGGGTAACATAGTAACTGGTTCTACCTGGGTAACTGGTCCTACTGGGTAACAAGTAACATGGTCTATAACGGGTAACAGTAGTAACTGGGTCACCTGGGTACATAGTAACTGGTCTACAGGTTAACAATAGTACTGGTCTACTGGTAACATAGTAAACTGTCTCTAATGGGTACCACCATCAGTAACGGGCTACTGGGTTACATAGTAAACTGTCTAATGGTAACATAGTAACTGGTCCTATGGTAACATATAACTCTAACAGGGTAACATAGTAACTGGTCTACTTAACTGGGTACCTGGTCCTACTGGGAAACATAGTACTGGTCTCTGGGTCACTGGTCACTGGTAACATAGTAAAACTAACTGGCTACGGGTACTGGTCTCCTTGGTAAACATAGTAACTGGTTCTAACTGGGTAAATAGTAACCCTGGTACACTGGTACTGTCTATGGGTCCATAGTAACTGGGGTCTACTGGGTAACATAGTACTTGTTACTGGTAACATAGTTAACTGGTCTACTGGGTAACATAGTCCGGGTCTACTGGTAACTGGCCTACTCTGGGTAACATAGTACTGGTCTACTGGGTACCATAGTACCTGTCTACGGGTAACAGGTCTATTGGGTAACATAGTACTGGTCTACTGGTACATAGTAACTGGTCTACTGGTAACTAGTACTGGTCTACTGGGGGTAACATATACCTGGTCTACCTGGTAACCATAGTAAGCTGGCGTACGGGGGTAACATAGTAACTGGTCTACTGGGGTACCATAGTAAACTTGGCTACTGGGTAACATAGTACTGGGTTCCCTACTGGGGTAACAGAGGTAAACTGGTCTACTGGGTACCATAGTAATGGGCTACTGGTTAACATAGTAACTGGTCTAATGTGTAACAGAGTAACTGGTCTACTGGGTAAGACAATAACTGTGTCTACAGGTAACAGAGTAAACGGGTCTACTGGTTAACTGTTCTAAACTGGGTAACATAGTAACTGGCTACGGGTACCTGGTCTACTGGGGTAACATATAACTGGTCTACTGGGTAACTGGTCTACTGGGTAACATGTAACTGCTACTGGGTATACTAGTAACTGGGGTCTACTGGGTAACTGGTCTACTGTACTTGGGTAAACATATAACTGGTCTACTGGTAAACATAGTAACTGGTCTACTGGGTAACATGTGAAACTGTCTACTGGTAACATAGTAACTGTCTTAACTGGGCTAACTGGGTCTACTCTGGGTACATAGTAAACATGTCACTGGGTACCATAGTAACTGGACTGGTCTATACTGGGAACGGTCTATTGGGTACATAGTACCTGGTCTACTGGTATACATAGTAACTGGTCTAACGGGGTCACAATTAACTGTTCTACTGGGTCACATGTAACTGGTCTACTGGGTAACGGTCTACTGTGTAACATAGTACTGGTCAATGGGTACCATAGTACACTGGTCTACTGGTCACATAGTCACTGGTCTAATGGGTAACATAGTAACTGGTCTACTGGGTAACATAGTAACTGGTCTCAGGGTAACATAGTAACTGGTCTACTGGGTAACATAGTAACTGGTCTAATGGGTACATAGTAACTGGTCTAACTGGGTACTGGTCTACTGGGTAACTGGTCTACTGGGTAACTTGGTCTACTGGGGTAACTGGTCTCTGGGTAAACTGGTCGCTGAGTACCATATAACTGGTCTACTGGGTCACATAGTAACTGGTCTACTGGGTAACATAGTAAACTGGTCTACTGGGTAAACATAGTAACTGTTACTGGGTAACATGGTAACTGGTCTACTGGTTAACATAGTAAACTGGTGTACTGGGGTAACTAGTACTGGTGTACTGGTTACATAGTACTGGTCTCCTGGGTAACATAGAACTTGGTCTACCTACTGGGTAACATAGTAACTGGCTACTGGGTAACATAGTAACTGGTCTCTGGGTAAATGTAACTGGTCTACTGGGTACATAGTAACTAGTCTACGGGTAATAATTGGTCTACTGGGTAACCTAGTAAACTGGTCCTCTGGGTACATAGTAACTGGTCTACTGGGTAACTGGTCTACTGGTAACATAGTAACTTGTCTAACTGAGTACATAGTCACTGTCCTACTCTGGGTAACATAGTAACACTGGTCTACTGGTACATAGCAACCGGTCTACTGGGTACATAGTAACTGTCACTGGGTAACTAGTAACTATTCCTACCTTGGTAATTGGCTACTGGGTAACAGAGTAACTGGTCTATACTGGGACATAGTACTCTGTCACTGGGTAACTGGTCTACTGGGTAACATATAACTGGTCTACTGAGTAACATATAACTGGTCTACCGTAGGGTTGTGACGTGTCCCATAGTAACTGGCTACTGGGTAACATAGCAACAGGTCTACTGGGTAACATAGTAACTGGTCTACGGGTAACATAGTAACCATGCTACTGGTAATGGGTCTACTTTACTGGTTGGCTACGGTAACATAGTAAACTATCACTGGGTAACTAGTACTGGTCTACGGTATTGGTCGACTGGGTACATAGTAACTGGTCTCCTGGGTAATTGGTCTACATACTGGGTACATAGTAACTGTTCTACTGGGTACCATAGTAACACTGTTCTAACTGGTAACAGAGTAACTGGTCTACTGGGTAACATAGTAAACTGGTTTCTACTGGGTAACCAAATAACCATAGTAACTGGTCTACTGGGTCACATATAACTGTCTACTGGGTAACATAGTACACTCTGGTCTATACTGGTAACATAGTAACTGGTCTACTCTGGGTAACATAGAACTGTCTACTCTACTGGGTACCAGGATAACATAGTAACTCGTCCTACTGGTAACATAGTAACTGGTCTACTGGTAACCATAGTAACTGGTCCAAATACTGGGAACATAGTAACCTGGTCTACTGGGTAACATAGTAAAACTGGTCTACGGGGTAACTGTCTACGGGTAACATAGTAACTGGTCTACTGGTACCAGTATACATAGTAACTGTCTACTGGGAACTGGTCTCTGAGTACGATAGTAACTGGTCTACGTGGTAACATAGTAACGGGTCTACTGGTAACATAGTAACTGTCTACTGGTACATAGTAACTGGTCACTGGTAAACATAGTAACTGTCCTACTGGGTACAATTAACTCTCTGTTCTACTGGGTAACATAGTAACTGGTCTACTGGGTACCATCCGTAAACTGGTCTACTGGTAACATAGTAACTGGTCTTACTGGGTAACATAGTAACTGTTCTACTTGGTACATAGTACTGGTCTACTGGGTGTGTCTAACTGGGTAACATAGTACTGGTCTACTGGTTAATTGGTCTACTGGGTTCATAAGTAAATGGTCTACTACTGGTAACCATAGTAACTTGTCACTCTGGGTCCATAGTAACTGGTTCTACTGGGTAACAGGTAACAGTATCTGGGGTACTACTAGACTGTATCTCACCTGCGGTTGATCTGCTGGTAGCCCTTCCTGAGCCAGCCCACACTGGGCATCTTCTTCCTGGACGTGGCTCCGTTCAGATACACTATCATATAGTTCTCTGCTACCAAGAGCTCTAAAGTGCCGATCACATACCTGATAACACACAACCGACAGGGGTGAGCGTTAGGTTAGAGAGAGAGGTGAGGGGTTAGGTTTATAGAGAGGGGTAGGTTCGGTTGCGCGCGCGGTGCGCGGTTCGGTTCTCGCGCGGGTCGTTTTGGTTCGCGCGCGCGCGTGCGGGTTCGGTTTCGCGCGCTCGGTGCTAGTTCGGATTCGCGCGCGGGTTGCGGGTTCAGTTTCGCGCGCGGGGTGCGGGTTCGTTTCGCGCGCGGGTCGGGTTTCCTGTTCGCGCGGGGTGCGGGTTCGTTCGCTCGCGCGGTGCGGGTTTCGGTTCGCGCGCGCGGTTGGGGTCGGTTCGCGCGCGCGGTGCCGGGTTCGGTTCGCGCGCGCGGTGCGGGTTCGGTATCCGCGCGCGGTGCGGGTTCCAGGTTCGCGCGCGCGGTGCGGGCTCAGGTTCGCGCGCGCGTGCGGGTTCGGTTTCGCGCGCGCGGTGGCGGGTTCGTTTCGACGCGCGCGGTGCGGGTGCTGTTCGCGCTCGGCTCGGTTCGTTAGCGCGGCCGGTGCCGGGTTCTGTTCGCGCTCGCGGTGCGTGGTCGGTTCGCGCGCGCGGGGTGCGGGTTTTGGTTCGCGCGCGCGGTGCGGGTTCGGTTCGCGCGCGGGTGCGGTTGGGTTTCGCGCGCGCGCGGTGCGGTTCGGTTCGCGCTCCGCTTTACGGGTTCGGTTCGCGCGCGCGTTGCGTGTTTGTTCTCCGCGCCCGGTGCGGGTTCCGTTCGCGCGCGGGTTGCGGGTAGCGGTCGCCTCGCGCGGTGCTGGTTCGGTTCGCGCCGGGGTTCGGTCGGTCGCGCGCGGGGTGCGGGTTCGGTTCGCGCGCGGGGTGCGGGTTTCGGTTCGCGCGCGCGGTGCGGTTGGGTTCGCGCGGCGCATGTTCGGTTCGGTTCGCGCTCGCGGTGCGGTTTCGGTTCGCGCGCGCGGTGCGGGTTGGGTTCGGTTCGCGCGCGCGTTAGCGGGTTCGGTATCGCGCGCGCGGTGCGGGTTGGTTACGCGCGCGGTGCCGGGTTGGTTCCGCGCGCGCGGTGCGGGTTCGGTTCGCGCGCGCGGTGCGGGTTCGGTTCGCGCGCGCGGTGCGGGTTGGGGTTGCGCGCGCGGGCGGGTCCGGTTCGGTTGCGCGCGCGGGGTTCCGGGTATCGGCGTTTCGCGCGCGCGTGCCGGGTTCGGTTCGCGCGCGCTTGCGGGTTGGGTTCCGCGCGGGGTGCGGTTCGGTTCGCGGCGGGGTTCGGGTTTCGGTTCTCGCGCGGGGTTCGGGTTCGGTTCGCGCGCGCGCGTGCGGGGGTTCGGTTCGCGAGCGGCGAGAGGTTCGGTCGAGCGAAGGGTGCAGGGTTAGTTTCGAGCGAGGTGTGACGGGTCGGTGCGCTCCGCGCGGTGCGGGTTGGGTTCGCGCGCGCGGTGCGGTTCGGTTCGCTGCGCGGTGCGGGTTGGGTGCGCGCGCGGGGTGCGGGTTCGGTTCTAGCGCGCTGTGCGGGTTCGTTCCGCGCGGGGGTGCGGTTCGGTTCGCTCGCGAGGGTGTGCGGGTTGGTTCGCGCGTGCGCGTGCCTGGGTCAGGGTTTCGCGCGCGCGGGGGGCGGGTCGGTTCGCGCGCGCGGTTCGGGGTTCGTTCGCGCGCGCGGGGGTGCGGGGTTCGTTTCGCGCGCGGGGGCGGTTTCGGTTCGCGCGCGGCGCGCGTGTTCGGTTCTCGCGCGCGGGGTGCGGGTCGGATTCGCGCGCGGGGTGGGGTTCGGTCGATTCCGCGCCGGGGTGCGGGTTCGTGTTCGTCGCGCGGTGCGGTTCGGTTTCAGCGCGCGCGGCCCCGGTGCGGGTTCGGGTTCGCGCTCGCGTTGCGGGTTCTGTTCGCGCGCCTGGGTTCTACGGTTCGGTCGCGCGCGCAGGTGCGGGGTGCAGGGTTGGTTCGCATCGCGCGGTTCCCGGGTTCGTTCGCGCGCGGGTTCGGGTTCGGTTCGCGGCGCTGCGCTTCGTTCCGGTTAGAGCGAGGGAGGTTTTCGGTTTCGAGAGAGCGGTGAGGGTTCGGTAGAGCGCGCGGTGAGGGTGGGTTCGCCGCGGGGTGCGGGTTAGGTTCGAGCCGCGGTGAGGGATTCGTTCTCTCGCGCGTGATTGTTGGGGGTTCGCCGCGCGCGACGGTGCGGGTTCGGTTACGCGCGCGGGTGAGGGTTCGGTTCGCGCGCGGTGCGGTTGGTTCGCGCGCGCGCGGTACGGTTCGGTTCGGCGCGGTGCGGGTTTCGGGGTTTTTGCGCGCGGCGCTCGGTTCGGTTCGCGCGCGCGGTGCGGGTTTCGGTTCGCGCGCGCGGTGCGGGTTTACGGTTCGCGCGCTGGGTGCGGGTTCGGTTTCGCGCGCGAGGTGAGGGTTGGTTAGAGAGAGGTGAGGGTTTCGTCGCGAGCAGGCGAGGGTTAGGTTGAGACGGGAGGGTGAGGGTTCGGTTACAGATAGAGGTGCGGTTAGGTTAGAGAGCGAGGTGCGTGTTGGTTAGAGAGAGCGGTTGAGGGGTGCGGGTTTCGGTTCGCGCGCGCGGTGCGGGTCGGTTCGCGCGAGCGGTGCGGGTTGCTGTTCGCGCGCGGGGTGCGGTGTCGGTTTCGCGCGCGGGGGTGCGGGTTCGGTCGCGCGCGCGGTGCGGGGTGCTAGTTTGGGGTCGCGCGCGGGGTGCGGGTTTCGTTTCGCGCGCGCGGTGCGGGTTTCGGTTCGGCGCCGGGTGCCGGGTTGTGGTTCGCCGCCGCGCGCGGTGCGGGTTCGGTCCGCGCGCGGTGCGGGTCGTTTCGAACGCGCTCAGAAATCCAGTAATAAGGTTGGGGGCGTCGCTCTTTATTTTTCTTTTTCGTTTTTCGTGTTTCTTTTCTGCCCGTCTCTCCTTTTCTTTCTATTTTCTTTTCTTTTTCTCCTCTCTCTTTTCTTTTTTTCCTTATATTTCTTTGTTCGCTCTCTTTTTTCTTTTTCTTATTGTTCTCTCTCCTTTTTTTCGGTTTCTTTCTCTCTCTTACTTTGTTGCCTTGTTTTCTTTTTTCTTTTCTCTCTCTTTTTCTTTTCTGTCTTTGTTTCTCTCGGCTTTTCTTTTTCTTTTTTCTCTCATCTTTTTTCTTTTTTTTTCTCTGCTATCTCTCTTTCTTTTTTTTTCTCTCTCTCGTTTCTTTGTTATTTTCTCTCTCTCTTTTCTTTTTCTTTTTCTTGTTTTCTGTTTCTGTTTTTCTCTCTCTTCTCGTTTCTTTTTTTCTTTTTTAGGGTTTTAGGGTTAGAGAGATAACTGTCCACCTCGATTCAGCTGTCGGAGATGTGAGTGTTAAATGCATCAGGTCATTGAATGAATATAGGCCTAGGTGTCCACTGTATGATATATTTAACAAATATATATAATGGAAGAGAAGCTTAGGCCTAGAGAGACGGAGAGAGAGAGAGAGATATGAACGGTGCCATGTTCCCAACACCGACAGAGAGGCTACTACTGCTATACAGATATTGACCTACAGAAGGAGGCTAATTTGTTCATTTTCTATCAGAATATTTTTTATAAAAGATAATCATTATATTGTTAGATTAAAGGAGTAACTCTGGTTGGCCAAAACAATCTTCCTCGCCTCCAGTCCAACTGTGGGAGTCATAGACCTGTAGAAGCTAAGCCTGATAATATCCATTCCACACCAAACTTTGACAAAAGTGTCTTAACTTTATAAGGGTAACATCAAAAGTAAGTCAAGTTATTCTTTATAGGAAAAATACTAACAGGTTATTAATCTTGCGGCATTAAAGTTTTGCGTCGCACCCTCTTTGGTTTTCCTTTCATGGTTTGAGTGTGAGTAGCCCTTATATAGACTAACCTAACCCTAACCCTAACCCTAACCTAACCTAACCCTAACCCTAACCCTAACCCTTAACCCTAACCCTAACCCTTACCTATTGCTGTAAACACATTACAGTTGGAACTGAATTTGGCCAAAGAAAATGGCTCAACAGAATGAAACAAAACACTTGTTGCATATTTAAATAACTGGTTTAAACCTTCACAAAAGTTAACAGGCTATGCCTATATTACCAACAAAGGCCAGTGCCTACCATAGGCCTACCCAACAACTGAAGGCAATAGGCTAATGCTATTTATTTTACAGCAGGCCTACTTTTAACCCATATTAAACTAAATACGGAGCAACAAATTTACAGTTCGAACGTAATTTAGCGATAATGTCTCAACAAAATTAAATAAAACTCCTTTTGCATATTTTAAGAGTAGGTTTAGATTCTTAAATAGGCCTATAATAATAATGAAAATAATATCATCCATAATAATCATAATGATACCTGAAATGATCCTAATACTAAAATTCATAAAATCTTCGCAAATTTCCATTAAACCTGAATAAGGAGTTGCACACAGTCCATTTGGCCGCGCCAACCTTTTCATCTTTGTCCACTATAATATTAAAACTTGTCCCAGAGGACATTACCGCTGGTTATTAGCCTCTAGTCCCAGAGGAACATTACCACCCTGGTTTTAGCCTCTATCCGCCAGAGGACATTACCCGGTTTATAGCCTCTTGTTCCCAGAGGACATTAACCCTGGTTATTAGGCCTCTTGTAGCCTCTGTCCCCTAGGACATTACCCCTGGTTATTAGCCTCTCTATTCCCAGAGGACATTACCCCTGGTTATTAGCCTTCTGTCCCCGAGTACATTACCCTGGGTATTAGCTTTTCTAGGCCCAGGGACATTACCCTTGTATTTAGCCCTCTAGTCCCCTCAGAGGAATTACCCTGGTTCTTAGCCTCTAAGTCCAGAGGACATACCTGGGTTAATTAGGCTCTACCAGAGTCCAGAGACATTCCCCTGGTTATTTAGCCTCTAGTCCCAGAGACATTACCCGGTTATTACGCCTCCTAGAGTCCCAGAGGACCTTACCCCTGGGTATTAGCCTCTAGTCCCATAGGACATTACCACTTGTTTTAGCCCAGTCCCATAGGACAGGATTACCCTGGTTTATAGCCTCTAGTCCAGAGGACATACCCCTACCCTGGTTATTAGCCTCTAGTCCCAGAGGAAATTACCCTGTTATAGCCTCTATCCCCAGAGGACATTACCCACCCTGGTTTTTAGCCTCTAGTCCCAGGGACATTACCCTGGTTATTAGCCTCTAGTCCCAGAGGACATTACCCTGGTTATTAGCCTCTAGTCCCAGAGGACATTACCCTGGTTATTAGCCTCTAGTCCCAGAGGACATTACCCTGGTATTAGCCTCTAGTCCCAGAGGACATTACCCTGGTCGGCTTCTTTTCACGATACTCTTTCTTCTCTAACTTTCCTTTTACTTCACTGAAAAACGACTCCATCTTCCCAATCAACAGTAGCCAAGGCCAAGGCTCCTTTCCCTCCCTCTCTCTCCTCAGCAGCAGGAACCAGTTTCAGCTGGATATAAACGATACGTTTTATTGAGTTGTAATTAGCTCACGCAGTTCTCATCACCTCACACATTAAATTAACAGAGGACCAATCACGTCCAGTCAGTCCATGACTATTGCTTTTGAATGACTATTATATTTTCAGACTAATGAATTATTAATTATAACAGATGCAATAAGAACATTTGAGATGTTATTTGTAATATACCTTAAGATGGCAAATTATTCTGTCTGATGGGTTTAAATGCTTTAGAATGACACTTCCTGTTTTGGCAGGAAATAACATGTCACCCGATAGAAAAGTGATTTATTCTCGGGATTGAACATTTGTAAAATTACGGGAAAATATTAAACCCTAGTTCAGATACACTTTCATATACAGTTGAAGTCAGAAGTTTAAATACACCTTAGCCAAATACATTTAAACTCAGTTTTTCACAATTCCTGACATTTAATCCTAGTAAGAATTCCCTGTCTTAGGTCAGTTAGGATCACCACTTTATTTTAAGAATGTGAAATGTCATAATAATAGTAGAGAGAATTATTTATTTCAGCTTTTATTTCTTTCGTCACATTCCTAGTGGGTCAGAAGTTTACATACACTCAATTAGTATTTGGTATCATTGGCTTTAAATTGTTTAACTTGGGTCAAACGTTTCGGGTAGCCTTCCACAAGCTTCCCACAATAATTTGGGTGAATTTTGGCCCATTCCTCCTGACAGAGCTGGTGTAACTGAGTCAGGTTTGTAGGCCTCCTTGCTCGCATACGCTTTTTCAGTTCTGCCCACACATTTTCTATAGGATTGAGGTCAGGGCTTTGTCATTGTCCATTTCGAAGACCCACTTGCGACCAAGCTTTAACTTCCTGACTGATGTCTTGAGATGTTGCTTCAATATATACACATAATTTCCCTTCCTCATGATGCCATCTATTTTGTGAAGTGCACCAGTCCCTCCTGCAGCAAAATACCCCCACAGCATGATGCTGCCACCCCCGTGCTTCACGGTTGGGATGGTGTTCTTCGGCTTGCAAGAATCCCCCTTTTTCCTCCAAACATAACGATGGTCATTATGGCCAAACAGTTCTATTTTTGTTTAATCAGACCAGAGGACATTTCTCCAAAAAGTACAATCTTTGTCCCCATGTGCAGTTGCAAACCGTAGTCTGGCTTTTTTATGGTGGTTTTGGAGCAGTGGCTTCTTCCTTGCTGAGCGGCCTTTCAGGTTATGTCGATATAGGACTCGTTTTACTGTGGATATAGATACTTTTGTCCCTGTGTCCTCCAGCATCTTCACAATGTCCTTTGCTGTTGTTCAGGGATTGATTTGCACTTTTCGCACCAAAGTACGTTCATCTCTAGGAGACAGAACGCGTCTCCTTCCTGAGCGGTATGACGGCTGCGTGGTCCCATGGTGTTTATACTTGCGTACTATTGTTTGTACAGGTGAACGTGGTACCTTCAGGCGTTTGGAAATTGCTCCCAAGGATGAACCAGACTTGTGGAGGTCTACAATTTTTTTTCTGAGGTCTTGGTTGATTTCTTTTGATTTTCCCATGATGTCAAGCAAAGAGGCAGTGAGTTTGAAGGTAGGCCTTGAAATACATCCACAGGTACACCTCCAACTGTGTAAACTTCTGACCCACTGGAATTGTGATACAGTGAATTATAAGTGATATGTCTGTAAACAATTGTTGGATAAATTACTTGTGTCATGCACAAAGTAGATGTCCTAACGAACTTGCCAAAACAATAGTTTGTTAACAAGAAATTTGTGGAGAGGTTGAAAAATGAGTTTTAATGACTCCAACCTAAGTGTATGTAAACTTCCTACTTCAACCGTAGCTCTCTGCTACCAACAGCTCCAATGAGAGGAGAGGAGAGGAGAGGAGAGGAGAGGAGAGGAGAGGGGAGGAGAGGAGAGGAGAGGAGAGGAGAGGGAGGAGAGGAGAGGAGAGGAGAGGAGAGGAGAGGCTGTTTAGTGACTGACTTAAAAGGATAGTTCACCAGAATTATAAAGATACCTTGTTTTCCCTGTAAGCAGTCTATGGACAAGGTAAGACATCAATCCTTTTTGTATTTTTGACTTTATGTTTTGTTTTACCCCATATGTAACTCTGTGTTGTTGTTTTTGATCGCACTGCTTTGCTTTATCTTGGCCAGGTCGCAGTTGTAAATGAGAACTTGTTCTCAACTGGCTTACCTGGTTAAATAAAGGTGAAAAATATATATATATAAATGACCTGGCCACATGTGTGTCCAAAAACCAATGCAAGTCAATATCCCCAATATTAGGATTTTGGGCGTTTCACCAGGGTTTGTACTCACTTGAAGAGGTTGTCCATGATGTAGCGGTAGTTGGGTTGGTTGCTCTCAGGCATGTAGCACACCGCAAACACTATGATGGCATTCAGGCCGTCTCCATAGTAACCTGGAAAACATGACAGTGTTTCAAACACGCCACAATACAACCTGCTCTGCATGGGACATTGTTACTGTAAATTTTTTTTATATAATTGATCCGATGACCCTCTTGTAGGACTAGGGTTATGGGTTAGGGTCAGGGGTTAAAGGTTATGGTCTGACCTCCGCGGCTGATGACCCTCTTGTAGGACTAGGGTTATGGGTTAGGGTCAGGGGTTAAAGGTTATGGTCTGACCTCCGCGGCTGATGACCCTCTTGTAGGACTAGGGTTATGGGTTAGGGTCAGGGGTTAAAGGTTATGGTCTGACCTCCGCGGCTGATGACCCTCTTGTAGGACTAGGGTTATGGGTTAGGGTCAGGGGTTAAAGGTTATGGTCTGACCTCCGTGGCTGATGACCCTCTTGTAGGACTAGGGTTATGGGTTAGGGTCAGGGGTTAAAGGTTATGGTCTGACCTCCGTGGCTGATGACCCTCTTGTAGGACTAGGGTTATGGGTTAGGGTTATGGATTAGGGTCAGGGGTTAAAGGTTATGGTCTGACCTCCGCGGCTGATGACCCTCTTGTAGGACTAGGGTTATGGGTTAGGGTCAGGGGTTAAAGGTTATGGTCTGACCTCCGTGGTTGATGATCCTCTTGTAGGACTAGGGTTATGGGTTAGGGTCAGGGGTTAAAGGTTATGGTCTGACCTCCGCGGCTGATGACCCTCTTGTAGGACTAGGGTTATGGGTTAGGGTCAGGGGTTAAAGGTTATGGTCTGACCTCCGTGGCTGATGACCCTCTTGTAGGACTAGGGTTATGGGTTAGGGTCAGGGGTTAGGGTCAGGGGTTAAAGGTTATGGTCTGACCTCCGTGGCTGATGACCCTCTTGTAGGACTAGGGTTATGGGTTAGGGTCAGGGGTTAAAGGTTATGGTCTGACCTCCGCGGCTGATGACCCTCTTGTAGGACTAGGGTTATGGGTTAGGGTCAGGGGTTAAAGGTTATGGTCTGACCTCCGTGGCTGATGACCCTCTTGTAGGACTAGGGTTATGGGTTAGGGTTATGGGTTAGGGTCAGGGGTTAAAGTTATGGTCTGACCTCCGCGGCTGATGACCCTCTTGTAGGACTAGGGTTATGGGTTAGGGTCAGGGGTTAAAGGTTATGGTCTGACCTCCGTGGCTGATGACCCTCTTGTAGGACTAGGGTTATGGGTTAGGGTTATGGGTTAGGGTCAGGGGTTAAAGTTATGGTCTGACCTCCGCGGCTGATGACCCTCTTGTAGGACTAGGGTCAGGGGTTAGGGTCAGGGGTTAAAGGTTATGGTCTGACCTCCGCGGCTGATGACCCTCTTGTAGGACTAGGGTTATGGGTTAGGGTTATGGGTTAGGGTCAGGGGTTAAAGGTTATGGTCTGACCTCCGCGGCTGATGACCCTCTTGTAGGACTAGGGTTATGGGTTAGGGTCAGGGGTTAAAGGTTATGGTCTGACCTCCGTGGCTGATGACCCTCTTGTAGGACTAGGGTTATGGGTTAGGGTCAGGGGTTAAAGGTTATGGTCTGACCTCCGCGGCTGATGACCCTCTTGTAGGACTAGGGTTATGGGTTAGGGTCAGGGGTTAAAGGTTATGGTCTGACCTCCGTGGCTGATGACCCTCTTGTAGGACTAGGGTTATGGGTTAGGGTTATGGGTTAGGGTCAGGGGTTAAAGGTTATGGTCTGACCTCCGCGGCTGATGACCCTCTTGTAGGACTAGGGTTATGGGTTAGGGTTAGGGGTTAAAGGTTATGGTCTGACCTCCGTGGCTGATGACCCTCTTGTAGGACTAGGGTTATGGGTTAGGGTTAGGGGTTTAAAGGTTATGGTCTGACCTCCGTGGCTGATGACCCTCTTGTAGGACTAGGGGTTATGGGTTAGGGTCAGGGGTTAAAGGTTATGGTCTGACCTCCGTGGCTGATGACCCTCTTGTAGGACTAGGGTTATGGGTTAGGGTCAGGGGTTAAGGTTATGGTCTGACCTCCGTGGCTGATGACCCTCTTGTAGGACTAGGGTTATGGGTTAGGGTCAGGGGTTAAAGGTTATGGTCTGACCTCCGTGGCTGATGACCCTCTTGTAGGACTAGGGTTATGGGTTAGGGTCAGGGGTTAAGGTTATGGTCTGACCTCCGTGGCTGATGACCCTCTTGTAGGACTAGGGTTATGGGTTAGGGTCAGGGGTTAGGGTCAGGGGTTAAAGGTTATGGTCTGACCTCCGCGGCTGATGACCCTCTTGTAGGACTAGGGTTATGGGTTAGGGTTATGGGTTAGGGTCAGGGGTTAAAGGTTATGGTCTGACCTCCGTGGCTGATGACCCTCTTGTAGGACTAGGGTTATGGGTTAGGGTCAGGGGTTAAAGGTTATGGTCTGACCTCCGTGGCTGATGACCCTCTTGTAGGGTTCTATTGCCTTCATGTCGACTTTGTGTTCCTGGTCTCCTATACGGAACACTCTCCAACGCCGCCCCTCCTCCCGCTCCTCGGACGCCGAGTACTCCTGGACTGACTCCACCCCCTTCTGCAGAACCTCCGTCGTCTTGGGCTTTGGCAGGTCGTCTGAGAAGAGAAGTTATTTTGAACTCTTTTCCTACCTTCCAATAACACTACATCTATTTGAAATACTTGAACTATTATACTGTAACATTCAAATTCGGTTTAATATTGTGGGGAATTATGACATTAATTATAATATATCCCCCTGATCAGAATCTGATCAACAATAACGGCCAATCGGATGAAAGATTCAGACAGTGATCATATGAAGGGTCCATCAAACATGCAACAGTCAAGACAGAGGAATACAATGATTTTGGTCTTCACATTGTGGACAGACAATGACATGGAATTACCACTCAACACTCCAGTAAGACTTCACCACCGAATAGACTGCCTTTTAACCCATAAGTCTAAGGGGGGTTGAAGTATATATATATATATTTTTTTTTTTTACTGCTATTAGCCCATACAAACGCATTGAATAACATTCACTACATGGAACAACAGATAGTCCCAAAAAAAACTCAAAAGGAAGTTTGTTCTGAAGTGTCTGTCCTATATCTGAAAGATCAGGAAACATTTGATATTTTTTGACATGTATTTAACCCCTTATTTCTGTCACTAAACAGTCTCCATATATACTTCCATTAATGTTTTCAACCTTCAGACGAGTCTTGACCTGTGGGCGTCCAAGAGCAAAACATGTACGTGTTCATGAGCGTCTCACCTTTCCACAGACGGTTCATAATAGTTTGTAGGCCAAATCATTTGGACGCTACAGACGAGTTTGTGAGAAGACACATTTTTGGGATGTCACATGGTCTGACAAACACAGCTCTAGCTCCGTCACCGCAAATGTGGAAGTGTTACATAAACTCAGGTTGGAGTCAATAAAACTCGTTATTCAAACTATAGTTTTGGCAAGTCGGTTAAGACATCTACTTTGTGCATGACACAAGTAATTTTCCAACAATTACTTCACAGATTATAATTCACTGTATCACAATTCCAGTGGGTCAGAAGTTTACATACACTAAGTTGACTGTGCCTTTAAACAGCTTGGAAAATTCCAGAAAATTATGTCATGGCTTTAGAAGCTTCTGATAGGCTAATTTACATCATTTGAGTCAATTGGAGGTGTACCTGTGGATATATTTCAAGGTCTACCTTCAAACTCAATGCCTCTTTGCTTGACATCATGGGAAAATCAAAAGGAATCAGCCAAGACCTCAGAAAAGAAATTGTAGACCTCCACAAGTCTGGTTCATCCTTGGGAGCAATTTCCAAACGCCTGAAGGTACCAGGTTCATCTGTACAAACAATAGTACGCAAGTATAAACACCATGGGACCACGCAGCCGTCATACCGCTCAGGAAGGAGACGCGTTCAATCTCCTAGAGATGAACGTACTTTGGTGCGAAAAGTGCAAATCAATCCCAGAACAACAGCAAAGGACCTTGTGAAGATGCTGGAGGAAACAGGTACAAAAGTATCTATATCCACAGTAAAACGAGTCCTATATCGACATAACCTGAAAGGCCGCTCACCAAGGAAGAAGCCACTGCTCCAAAACCACCATAAAAAAGCCAGACTATGGTTTGCAACTGCACATGGGGACAAAGATCGTACTTTTTGGAGAAATGTCCTCTGGTCTGATGAAACAAAAATAGAACTGTTTGGCCATAATGACCATCGTTTTGTTTGGAGGAAAAAGGGGGTTGCTTGCAAGCCGAAGAACACCATCCCAACCGTGAAGCACGGGGGTGGCAGCATCATGATGTGGGGGTGCTTTGCTTCAGGAGGGACTGGTGCACTTCACTAAATAGATGGCATCATGAGGAAGGAAAATGATGTGGATATATTGAAGTAACATCTCAAGACATCAGTCAGGAAGTTAAAGCTTGGTCGCAAGTGGGTCTTCCAAATGGACAATGACCCCAAGCATACTTCCAAAGTTGTAGTTAAGGACAACAAAGTCAAGGTATTGGAGTGGCCATCACAAAGCCCTGACCTCAATCCTATAGAAAATGTGTGGGCAGAACTGAAAAAGCGTGTTCGAGCAAGGAGGCCTACAAACCTGACTCAGTTACACCAGTTCTGTCAGGAGGAATGGGCCAAAATTCACCCAAATTATTGTGGGAAGCTTGTGGAAGGCTACCCGAAACGTTTGACCCAAGTTAAACAATTTATAGGCAATGCTACCAAATACTAATTGAGTGTATGTAAACTTCTGACCCACTGGGAATGTGACGAAAGAAATAAAAGCTGAAATAAATCATTCTCTCTACTATTATTATGACATTTCACATTCTTAAAATAAAGTGGTGATTCTAACTGACCTAATACAGGGAATTTTTACTAGGATTAAATGTCAGGAATTGTGAAAAACTGAGTTTAAATGTATTTGGCTAAGGTGTATGTAAACTTCCGACTTCAACTGTAGGTGGATGCGGTGGATTGGAACGGTGTTGCGTCAAAATGCAACACAATAAAAACTAAAACTGATATCAAAGTGGTCCTCTGTAGCTCAGCTGGTAGAGCGTCTGCTAAATGGCATATTATTATTTATTATGATATCTCTAGCTTAAACTGACGGATTTGAATGGGGATTAGATTCATGCAGACCTCGACCTTGGGGGGTTAAACATCCATCCCAGCACCAGGATGCAACACCGTTCAAACACGGCACTGTTCTCATTTTACATCCATCACAGAAAGATAGAAGAAGTAAGAACATGCTGGTACATGACCAACCTTGGAAACAGACATGACTCAACATACATAAAAGGGTAAAAGAATGAAGAAAAAAGATCCCTTGATTTGTTCACATATTTGATGCAAAGAAAAATTATATTTGGTTGATTGACCAGACAGTATGTCCATGAGACCTTACCACACTTGTTGTTGCCCTGGAAACTGTTGCCATGACAACAAGGGTAACAGTCCTTCTAGACGAGGCCGGCAGCAGAGTGGAAACACAGAAACAACAACACTGTTGAAACCTTTAACCTTTAACCTTTAACATTTAACTACAGTTCATTGGCACCATCCAACTGTCAGGGTCAGGTTCAGACATTTAAACCTTATTGGACTTAACTGGCCCCAGAACTATTGAACCAGGCTTAGTGGAGTCAGCTCCTGGCGTAGACTAGTGTCCTGTCCTGGGGTAGACTAGTGTCCTGTCCTGGGGTAGACTAGTGTCCTGTCCTGGGGTAGACTAGTGTCCTGTCCTTGGGTAGACTAGTGTCCTGTCCTGGGGTAGACTAGTGTCCTGTCCTGGGGTAGACTAGTGTCCTGTCCTGGGGTAGACTAGTGTCCTGTCCTGGGGTAGACTAGTGTCCTGTCCTGGGGTAGACTAGTTCCGTCCTGGGGTTTTACTGTGTCCTGTCCTGGGGGGAGACTAGGTTTTCCCCTCCTTTGGGGGGGGGACTATTTTCCTGTCCTGGGGAAAACTTTTGTGTCCTGTCCTGGGATTTGAATAGTGGCCCCGTCCTGGGAAAACTAGTGTCCCGTCCTGGGGGAGACTATTTTCCTGTCCTGGGGATAGATGTGTCCCGGTTTCCCGGGGTAGACTAGTTGTCCTGTCCTGGGGTAGACTAGTGTCCTGTCCTGGGGTAGACTAGTGTCCTGTCCTGGGGTTTGACGGGGGTCCGGGCCCGGGGGTAAAATAATGCCTGTCCCCCGGGTAGACTATGTCCTGTCCCCGGGGGAACAGGTCCCCGTTCCCGGGGTTTAAATAGTTTTCCGTCCTGGGGTTTTGACTAGTGGGCCCGTCCGGGGTAGACTAGTGTCCCCCTCCTGGGTAGAACTCGGGCCCTTGGGGCCTGTCCCCGGGGTAGACAGTGTCCTGGGCCTGGGGTAGCTAGTGTCCCCGTCCTGGGGTTAAAACTATTCCCGTCCTGGGGTAGGGGCTGTTTTTTTTCCCGGGGTAGACCCAGGGTCCCGTCCTGGGGTAGACTATGTCCGTCCTGGGATAGATATGGTTCCCGTCCCCCGGCCCAGAAATAGTGTCCCGTCCTGGGGGAGACTAGGGGTCCCGGGCCCGGGGTAGACTAGTGTCCTGTCCTGGGGTAGATATGGTTTCCCGCCCGGGTAGACAGTGTCTGTCCCTGGGGGTAACTGTGTCCGTCCTGGGGTAGAATAGTGTCCCCTGTTCCCCGGGGTAGACTAGTGGGCCTGTCCTGGGATAGACTAGGTCCTGTCCTTTGGGGGAGAAATTAAAAAGTTCCCCGCCTGGGGGGGATATTTCCGGTTTCCCGGGGGGAAGAATATGTCCTTGGGGGGGTTTTTCCCGGGGTGCTAGTGTCCCGTCCTGGGTTTGCCCAGTGTCCTGTCCTTTGGGGGGGAAATAGTTCCGTCCTGGGGTAGACTGTTGTCCCCGTCCCGGGTAGACTAAATTTTTGGCCTTTTCCTTGGGGGAGACTGTGCCTGTCCTGGGGGGAGACTAGTGTCTGTCCTGGGGTAGACCCAGTGTCCTCCCGGGGTTAAAATAGGGTCCTTCCTGGGGTAGATAGGTTTTCCCGGCCTGGGGTAGACTGTGTTCCCGGGGGTAGACTTGTTTTCCCCGGGGAGGGCTTTGTCCGTCCTGGGGGGAGAATGTGGGCCCTGTCCTGGGGTTTTGAATATTTTCCTGGTTTTGGGAATGACTAGGTCCTGTCCCGGGGTAACTAGTGTCCTGTCCGGGTAGAACCCGGTGTCCCGTCCTGGGGAGAATTTTGTGGCCTGCCTGGGTAGCTAGTTTTTCCTGTCCCGGGGTAGACTAGTGTCCTGGCCTGGGGTAGATAGTGTCCTGTCCGGGGGGTAGATTTTTGGTCCCCCGTCCTGGGGGGGAAAAATTTTTCCTTTTTCCCGGGGTTTGACTAAATGTCCTGTCCTGGGATAGACTAGGGGTCCTGTTTCCCGGGAGATAGTTGTTTTTGGGTAGACTATGTCCTGTCCTGGGGTAGAATATGTCCTGTCCTGGGGGGGGACTAGTGTCCGGGCCTGGGGGTACTAGTTCCTGGGGTAGACTAGTGTCCTGGGGGTAGAACCATTTTCCTGCTGGGGTAAGGGACTAGT